TTTATCAGGTTTGAATAATTATTTAGTATATATATTAAGTAATAATTTATGGTATGTAATTTTAATCATATTTAAAATGTTTATACTTTTACATAAATATATTTTACTAAAACATTTTAACGAAAAAAAATATTTTACTAAAAAAAATATTTGTTTTAAATAATTATTCAGTAATTTATTTATGGTTTTTAGTATTAAATATATATATTCATAATTTCAATATATTTTATCGTAATAATATAGTATTGGTATATTTATACATTTTTATAATTATATTTATATTTAATTTTTTAATTTTTGATGTAACCGTTATTGCAGCCGCTGGTTTACCAGTCATAAAACTCACGCAAATGCACCCTTTTTTAAAGCTAAACAGTGTTTAAAACGCTTGAAACCGCAACCGCTGCGTTTAAACCAGTCAGGCTATTAGTCTCTTACCTTAGGAGTTGGAATAAATTGGACTAGACTCTGTTTCGAGCTACACAAGACATTGCACTTCTTCACAAAGTTTGATTCACCTTTCTCTTCCCTTCAGACCCCTTAAAAAACATTTACAGAAAGGGCATAGGTAGAAATGAACCGAGGGATGTCACGCAAACCCGTGCATATTTCGGAACTCATGGATGCCAAAAAAAGAAGAGAAAAACAAGGTTCCATAGAAAAAAAAAAAATAATACCTAGAAAAGTAGGGAGAATCGATTACCTTTCAAGTGAGAAAAGGGAGAGGAAAGGAATAATACGAAGAATTCTTGGCTAGGAGAGAGTCGATATGCCATTGATCAATATTCCTCTGTAAAGAGATGAAAATGTAGAGACTGGAAATTCTTGATGATTGTGGGATTAGAGTAAGGAATGTTGATGCTTCTCATAGGATATTAGTACATAAAGTAAGTTCTATAATCAAGGCGACAAAGAGTGCAAAGAACAGTTTCCTGTAGTTGAATGAGTTTCTGTTTTTTCAAACTTCTTTAACAGGTAAGGTTTTTGTTTTGTTTGAGGGCAAGCAAAGGCTAAGTCTGGGGGAGTTGACATATCACGGACTGGAGCAATTTGGAGCTATTTGGTACGGATTGGAGCAATTTGGAGCTTTTAGGAACATATGAGCTGAGCAAGCAAAGCTAGGGACAATATCTGAAGGAGTGTCGATCGATACCACGCACTAGTGTCGATCGATACCACGCACTAGTGTCGATCAATACCACCCATTAGTGTCGATCGACACCAGCTATAAATGACGAACCAACTCGAGTTTTCAAGATTTGAAGATTTACAAAATATGCCCCAAGTTCCACCTAATTGCAACATTGGTCCCTGACATGTTTTAGAGATATTTAAGCACTTTTTAGGTTTTAGAAACACTTACGCGTTATTCTATTGCAAATTGTTGATAGATTTGCTTGAGAACTTTTGGAAAGAAAGATCAAAACTCCCTGTAGAGAGAAGATTTCAAACTCCTTTGTTTCTCTTTATTATTTCTCAATCTATATTATTCAGTTTATGATGGTTACTTCTTACATGATGTCTGAGTAGTCTTCTTGTTAGGTTTAGGGATTCTCACTAAGGATTCCATAACTTGTTAGGTAGATTTGTTAAATTAGGATTCATAACCTTAATTGTTCTTCACCATAGGTTGTCTGAATGGTAGTTCTAGTCTGATCACCTAGAATTAAGATCTTAAGATAATTGGTTTGACACAAAAGTGTGATTAGTTACCTGATAGAACCTAGGGTGAGAAAAATTATTATTCGCAAAGAAGTTTAGTTTAGGGATTTTGTGAACATATCGAACTTGAACTTTAATGCTAATTTAATCTTTATGTTTTGCAGAGAAATTTGAAATTATGGTTTTAAACTTAGATAATCATCGTAGTGAAAGCTCGTAGATTTTACCTTTGTGTATCAAGTTCCAGAACCGTGCTTAAATTGAATCCTAATTATTTAATTTATCTTATTTAATTAATTTCCTGAAAATATCCCTAAGCCAGCTTTTCCTCCCATTGAATTTAAAAATTTCTTTCAAAATTTTCCTGCTTTTAATTTAAACCTACTTTATTTAGCTTAATTTGATACCGAATATTTATTGTGTAAACTTTGAGTCTCTGTGGATTCGATCCCTAGGTACTATAGTGATATGGTAATTGAGAGAGTAGCTCATAACAAATTTGAGCAAATCAATTTGTAGATTCGGTAAACAAGTTTTTAATATCTTTTGTGCATTCCATATTGGCTGTTGGATATGATTAGGCTCACGAACCAGGACTAGATGTAAGTCCCACTAAGAGAGTTGAGTCCATAGGTTGTGAATGAGCATGAGCCCACTAAAAGAATTTACAGTAAGGTTAAAGCCAACTGTGGGATATGATGTGGCCACTAAGAGAAGTAGACCCATGAACCAGAAGTTGACATGAAGTCTATTAAGAGAGATGGCGATCGTTGGCTTTACAAATGGCAAATTGTAACTCATATACTCAGTTGACCATTTAATTAAGAATCTAGCATGTATAATTCATTATTTTGCTCTCTTTTTATTCAAACCATTTTATCCCTATTCTCCCCCTAGAAACCTAGTAGTTTATCCCTGTTTATATAAGCAACAAATTTAACATCACTCGTTTTATGGGCGTTTGATGCTATATATATAATAAAAACTATTTTATTAATTCATATTTGAGGTGCTATTGGAGGTCGTGGGCGTATGGTGCTATTGGAGGTACCAGAATCGAGATAACACAACTGTTACGGGTGGCGGCTTCAAGCTTGAACTGCAACTCTGAAACGCCGCGAACGCGCGAACCTCAAACACTGATTCCAACAAGCTTGCAAGTGGTAAAACGTGTTGATTTTCTGGTTCGTTAGCAACGGCGTGAAAATAGATGTTTTGGGAACAACATCATTTCCGAAGACGATGGTTGACAGAGATTTAGAAGAAGAAGCAGAGCTCGTCTGGTGAACCTGATAGTAAGAGAATTATCCGTTATAACGGTTTTAGTCTGCGAAGGAAACGATAAACCTCCACGACCCAAGCCCAACAGGCCAGCTTCTCCAACGAACAAGCCTTCGTTATCATGACCGCATCCCAAAGGCACGTGATCAACATGCGCTCCGTGAAACGTCAGCATCTCGGTTGCGAAGTCTCCTTTGGTGAATGATCTGTCACCATACTATACCTTGTAGAGGCAAGTCTTGCTTCGACGGTGACACATTCCGACGAGTCCGCTAGTCTCCAACCGGTGAAGAACGTTTTGGATCTCTTGGGGCCAAAGATCGGGTCGGATTGGTTGTAACAAGCTTTGCAAGGAGACCATTGGAGCCAAACGACCAACAATCGTTTGGTGCTATATATGTAATAAGTTATTTGATAAATTTGTAGTTATCTAGTTAAATTATTTATAGTTAATCATATGTTACCGCTATGAATTATAAGTTATTTGATAAACTCATAAATACCGCGATATATATTAATTTATAAGTTATTTGATGAACTCATAATTAATAATTGTAAGTTATTTGATAAACTCATAATTAATAATTATATGGTAAATTCATAATTATAAGTTATTTGATAAACTCGTAATTAATTTTTATTTTTATAGCAAGAAATATTAATTTAATGGATAATATGTAAATTACTACGATAACAGATTGTTTAATATGTTTGTACTGAAGTTATCGAATGCTATTAATCGCTGATGAACAATGTTATCAAATTCTATCAATCACGGATGAATAGTCTTAGTATTAGTTTACAAATAATATATAAATTATCGGGATAACAGATTATTTAACATGTTTTAAAATAAATTGTCAAATGCTATTACTCATGGATAAACAGTTTAGCATTCCCCTGGATATTGTCAGAGCTGCTTCAGAGAATCATCATTATTTGGATATTGTCAGAGCTGGGTTGATAAAAGTTTTTTTTTTTTTCCAGAGTCAAATAGGGACATTTTTTTTTTTGTCAAATACGTAGTCCTCTAACTTTTTTTTTCTATCCACAATGTTATGATTATGTTTACATACTCTTCTAGAGGGTCAAGTGTGTAGTTAGTGAGTACACTGTTGTATTTAATACCATTTTTAAAAATTTATAAGACGAGGCTTGTTATCTTAGTATATGTACTAATTGTTACATGGAGTTATCGACTAAATGAAATGATATCGGCTAAACATAATAATATCGTATATCTTTGAAGATATCGTCGACATCATTTAATGCTGGAGTTGTGCGTATCGTTACCAGTATCGCTAGGGAACATAATCAATTCATTAAACCACCTAAATCTGTATAGGGCTACTTTTATCTTTATTTCTGACATCATGTGAGAGAACTAGTTTTTGTGTTATCAAGTCCTTGCTTTTAGTTTTGTATTCTTCTGGATACATAAACTTAAGTCACCATTAACAAATCCACACAAAAGATCTGTAAACATGACGTAATGTCTTAAAAAATAGAAGGAAACAAGCGTTTATAATGGGTAAAAACTAGGAACAACTCCATGGACTTGCATTTCGCTTGCGTAAAGAGGCCGCAACGGCAGTTTGGAGGTGGTAGCTCAAAACCAGAAGAGCCAACAAATCAGCAAGGTCCATAAAAAGTGAAGGAAACAAGCGTTTACGATGGGTAAAACTGAAAACATCAGGTTCATGAACTTGCATTTTGCTTGTCCACAAACAAACATTCACATCAAATACCTAAGGTTGGAGGTGGCAGCTTAAAGCCAAAAGAGCTAACTAAACAAATAATTGGTTTGATATTGCACAAACATTATTCAATGCACATCAAACTAACCTAAAATCTCAAAATATTAAATTTGAATATGCTCAAAAATATCCTTTAGTGTTCAGTTAGGAAGTGCATTCTTGATTGTATCCTTTCAACAAATATATGAAATTATGAATGGTGGAAAACCAAACCAAAGGCTAAACTAAAGACAATAAAAACTAAAGACAATAGTCGACAAAAAAAAAAAAAAAAAAAAAAAAAAAAAAAAAAAAACTAAAGACAATAAAAGGCAGTATAAATAAGTAACAAAGCGAGAGAGTTAACAAAATAGATTTCTCAATCAAAAGTCTTATGTTTCATTTGTATCCCTTAGATTAAATTTTATCCCCTGTGAAGCTAACATAATCTGCACATATCTTACATTTCCACATACAGAAGAAACCTTCACGGAGCAGTCTTTAGAGGAACCGCGTCGGCATGTACTCATTGATTCTAAGGGGCATACTGTAGAACTCCTCGTTCCTCGTGTCTCCATCTCTATGCTGGAAAGGCTTCCACCACGACATTCCTCTTTCATTAAAAGCATGTTTTGCTTCCAACGTGTTATCGAGTACAGTCGCCACAATGATCGCCACGAATGGAGCCGAAGCAAAGATTGTGTTAAGTATATCGTTGAACTGCACCACAAGTCACCACCAAAAATATTACTTTCTCTTTAAAATCCAAATTACTTAAAAAAAAAATCTAGATCATTAAAAGGCTTACCCATCCACCGGCTGTTCGAACCGGTCCATACCCTGCTCTTGTCGTGTTTGAATAAAAGTACTGAGCGATCGAAAGACTTAAGAAGAGAGAGACACCGACAACATACATGTTTCTCATAGAATTCGTGTCGGTGAACTGTATAAACGATATTCCAACAGCAACTGGGCCAACCACATAACAATAGTATCAGAAATAGCCCTCAATTTATCCAAAAACTAAGAAGTATAGATTATATATATACAAAATGCTACTCACCAACAATTCCAAGTAGTATACAGTATATGCCTCCAAAGATTGGAAGTGGTATAGACGCAAAGAAGGCGCCAAATTTTCCTAAAGATAATTAAAAACACACAAATCTTACGTTTAAAATGGCTACTTTCAATAAACTGAGCTCTAGTCAAGATGACTGATTGGGGAGTGAAAGACAAACCAAATATAGAGAAAAATATCATGAAACCCGTCGAAACCTGCACCACTCTTCTACTCCCTATCCGGGTGAGGCCAAGGAGACCGACATTTTCCCTGTATATATATGATCAAGATGAATAATACTTCCTTTGTAGGTAATTTGAAACGACAGTAGAACATATAGCGAGGAGAGGTATTTAGGACTTACACAGACGCGGTATTACCCGTAACCGAACCAAATATTCCTTGAAGGAGAACACCAATACCCTATAAGGAAAATATTCAGAACACTAGAAGAGAGCACAGAAAATGATTAGCCAAGTGTGTAAGAATAAAACCTGAAGCCCGACACTACGAGAGACCACATGTGCTGGAGGCGCTGTTGCTCCTGCTAGTCTAGATGCTGCGAAAAATACTCCGGTAGACTAAAACATTCGGGATATAAATAACATAAGAACAAGTTGTAGCCTGTAACATGATGAATATGTAACACAAGGTAGAAACTACAACTAATGAATAACAATGTTAAGACAAGAATTTGTACCTCTGCAGATGCGACAATCGCAGAACCAAACATTCCAAAAACATGACTCGCTTTGAATATAGGAGTCCCCCACTGGAACGGATATGGGACTCTGATCCTGCAAAATGAGTTTAAGTGTCTGACTATACAGATACTTAGACCTTAGACAAAAAAAAATCAAGAAAAAACAGTAATAAACCTACCAGGGAGCTGAGGAAATAAGAAATGCACGATCTGTGCGGCAACTTTGTTTTGTTGCAACCGGAACATTGTTATAAGCTCCAGAAACAGTAAGGATAGCAGCAAAAGCCCATATGAGAGCCAAGCAAACAAGTAAAGCATATCTTTCAAGTATCGTAGAAACCCTCGAGATCCGAACGAAATGTTTAATATACTGCAAGATGGAGAACAAGATAAAATATTATATAACTAAACAATCACCACCATATATACCACGAAGAGAAAAAGCTGCCCGACTTGTTGTGTGATGATCAACAGAATTAGCATCGGTAGACCGAGTTCCACACAATTTGCAAGCTGTAGAAAGCCCAAAATATCACACAATGAATTAGGAAAGCTAATTAAGTTGTTAAAGATGATTGAATTGTAGTTCAAACTGTTACCAATGGGAAGCCTCTAAGAAAAAGGCCAAGGCTTACAACAGAAACCACTGGCACAACAATGATGGGACTAAAGATTCTACATTTAACAAACGAAGATCATTGGTTATTAGAACATTTCATCATCTTGTGAACTAACTAACAATCTTGTATAGAATTTATATAACCTTATCAAGTTCCCCCATGCCTGACCATATCCCATTATGATGTTTACGAACGAAGAAATGATTAAGGACCCTTGTACAGTTCTCATGGTATGTCGAAATCTCTGTTAGCAAAATGTCATATATATCAAGTAATAAACAAGACAACAAAGTAAACGAAGGGCGAAACTATACACCGAGCTTTTTACCATTTTCTCAGAATCGAATTGACCATTATTGTAATCTCTGACGATAGACAATACAGGAAGAACATACGCGAACGAAACTCCCATAACCGTTGGAAGCCTAGTCCCTATAAGCGTTTGTAGCAACGTGTTTATCCCCGACATAAACAATATAGTTTGAATAACCCGCGCTTTATCACCCTAACAATAACACGAAACAGTCCGTTTCAAAACCATATAATCCCATAAAAACTTCCATAAAGAAGACCAAAACACAAAATAACAACATACAGGATCTCCACCCATTGGTGGCACAAGTGTGTTGGCAAGCAAGACAGTAGTCCCAAGCATAACAATGTATTGCTGGAAAGCTAGTAAAACTGTCTCATCTGTAAAGAAACCAAATGAATCATTGTTAATGGAATTTGAAACAAATCAGTTCTTAAAAGGAAAGCATTATACAATCGCTATGTTACAACATCCCTTAAAATGGCATTTCTTGTTACAAAATGTTACAAAATCCCTTAAAATGGCATTTCCTGTAATGATAAAACACTAGTAACATTTCATTTTCCATAAACCCCACACTAATAACTCTTGTAGCATTGTGGATTCACCTAATCCATACCCTTTATAATAATCTTAATGAATTAATATGTCTCAAGAACAATTACACAACATTTTATAAATAGTTTAAAAGCTAATTAGAGCCAACACAAGCTAAAATATAGTCAAAACAGAGGAGATAAAGAATCGAATCAGATTCTGAGATCTAAAATATTCTTTTAAGAAACAAATTAAGACACAACAAGAAAGCAGTTAAGGAGAGAGACAGAAGTGAACTCATGTAACTTTTGACTTCGGAAAGAATAAATAATTTTTTTTTTACATCTGAATCATAAAAAATAAAGTAAACAAACAAAGTTAGTGAGACTAACGCCAAGAAGGGTTAGAGTGGATGCAATATTGAAGATGATGAAGTTGCTCAGCCGGAGCCCAAGTTGGTCCTCTGTTAACCGCCATAGATGGAACCGGAGGATGACCGGCTGCAGCCGGTGCCGGTGGATGTTGATGGTGTCCAGTTTCAACCATTCTTTTAATTAAAAAAAAAAAAAAGTAAACTACTCTTTTCTTGAAAGGATCTTGAGAAGATGAAACTTTAGGAATCTCTCTCTTTTTTTTTGGGTAAGTTGCAGAAAGGTTTCCAAATCAAACCGACAAAGAGAAGATGATAAAAAGAAGTTAGCAGGAGAAAAAAAGCGAATCTCGAGACTACAGAATTAAAAAGATAAATAGTATAAAAGAAATAAAAGTCACTTGTTTAATTTGTGTGAGAAGGAACAGACTTTTTTTATTTATCTCTTTGAGTTAAATAATATATATTTAATTTTTGTTCAAACTTCGAAAGAATAAATCAGCCATTGTTAGGTGTAAGTTTTTAATTGTTTATTTTTGAAACGTACATCTAATTATTAATAGGAATAAATGAAGTTTCTTTTTGTCATCCTCTTTTTGTCTTTATTTGCATTCTCTGAATTTGTTTTCCTCTTATTACTCTTCTTTATTGTTGGTTGATGTTATTATGAATTTTGAATTATGTAATTCCTCAATTGAATTATTTTGTTTTACTTCAATTTAAAATGAGGTATATAGAAAATTATTTTGAAAAATTAAAAGCAACTTTGAAACAAATCCGTAAGCTATTAAAAATAACAAGAATTTTAATATTACACTCAGTTATCAAATTTAAGTTTTTAAAGGTAACATCTACTCCCTATGTCCCATACAATAAAATGTTTAGGAGTTTTTTTTTGTTTCAATTTATAAGATGTTTTACAAATATTTATACAGATTTTAATGTTATTTGATATTTTAACTCTTTATATTTTTTAATCTTTTCTATAAGTGGCGGAATTTTAAATTGAAGTAGTTATTAAATGATGCTTTTTTAACAAAACAATATTTAGTTTTTATATTTTTATCCAAAACATCTTATAAAAATTTGGAACAGAAAGAGTATACAAATAGTATATCTTTTTGAAAATTTTGTTCGTTTTGTTCGATAAATTTTACTTTTACCAGACATGTATACAAATAGTATATCTTCTTTTCCGGCACATTGACAATATATATAACGGTACACTAAATTACAATCCGATAAATTTGTTCGGTAATATACCTTTTTACTAAATGACATGCACGCAAATAAAAGATATGCTTTGTCATTATAGTAACGCCATATATAACGCCATTCGAAATTATAAATTTCAAATACATTTTACTAGTTAGGAAAGCAGATAATATATTTTTTCTCGCCACTTTGATGACATAATAATTGTTCACTAATCGACAATTCCAAACATTTTGGTCAAAATTTTTTATTTTTTATAATATACCATATATAACGGTAAACAAAACTACAAGCGGACAAAACTTTTCGATAATAAACTTTTTGTAAAATTGGCAATATATAAAAGATATATGCTTATCTGTCATTATAGTAACCTTATATATAATAAACCGTTAAATTATAAAATTTAAATATTTTTCTCCAATAGTACTTTTTATCGAGTAGACATGCAAATAATAGTTTTTTGTCAATATCTTAACGAGATAATAACAGTCCAGTAATCTAGATATCATTTTTTATACGATAACAACATACAATATTAGAGTGAGTTAAGTTTTGGTACTCAAACAAGTGGAAAACAAAAAAAAAAGAACATGTTAAAACAAAAATTAGTTTTCTGTCCATAAGGGAGTGTAAGTTACTCGTTTGTCCCTGTTACAATTATGGCAAAAAACATTAATAAAGGTGTTGCTATTTAGGGTAGGCGACATGATATGTGGATTCTCTGCTTCGCCTCTGACAATATCTAGGTGCCGCCGACGTTGGGAGAAGCAAGATATGGGAGAGAAACTAATGATAAGCTAAGATACGGTAGCTGCTACTCTATACGATGGCTTGTTTATTATCTTGATATCCCATTTTCCTTCACGATATACATCAAAAACAAATAGCAAAATTACTCGAAGCTAGTTTTTAATGCTGGCTAACATCGACATCAACGAAAAAAGCACACTTCTGGTAATAGTTTACTAGGGTTCTTAGTAATTTATCGCACTTCTGTTGTGTAATCAATGTGGTTCGTCGTTGCTAACGTTAATGAGTTGTTTACCTCTGGTAACTTTTGTTTATTTCCGATAACACCTAACTTATATGTTTTCTTTTCGCAGATCAGTGATGTCGATGGTTGTGAGGTTGGTGCGGGGAGCATGGAGGATGGACGAAGATGGAAACTATGAACACATCACCTATTTGGAGGGCTTTTGGATGGCGGTTTGTACAAAATAGGGAGCGAGATGATTTGCAGACCGTCAGAAATGCGGTTAGAGAGCGGTTAAAGCTTACGACCGCAGTGGATGATGGGACCTAAATGGGCCCGTGCAGACGCAATCAAGATCCTGAATGATGAGGACATAACCCTGGTTCATTTGATTGGGCCTAGCTTTAGTTGGAATATGCTTTTCGTTGAAGTCTTTTCCGAAAGGTATTTCAACAATATGTTTTTTCCTCTCCTAGAATGCATTTGGAAGTTCATAGCATATTTGGGTTAAGAGTTCAGTTTCTATTTTTTTTTAACTTTTTTATTATTTGTGGATCATGTAATTGTTGTTCTATTTGTTGGTATTTTATTTCTTGTTATAAGTATAGAACATGTTTTTGTTTTCTATCTATTAGGTTTATAGATTTTTCTATTGTGGAATTCTGTAAAGGTAAAATTTCTTTTGTTTTCATTGGTGATAGAAATTCAAATATTATCTTTTCTCTTACAATTTTTGTAGTAATTCCTAGTATAACTTCTTTACTTAAATTTTTTACACGGATAAGTTGTGTTTTAAAGCAATAGTTTTTATTACAAATTTTTGCTTTAGGTAATTTATAATTAACTTTTAAACTGCTTCCGTTTGCACCACTAAGTTTTTCGTATGTTTTTCGTAGAATTTTGTAGGAATTTATTCCCTCTATAATACAGTTATAATCAGCTCATTTATCTAAAAGTGCTATGGTTTCTAGTTTAAAATCATACCCAATGTGTAATGTTATTTTCGTATACCATTTTTGATAGTTTATTTTATTTATTATTTGGATATATTCTTCTTCTTATGTTTTCTCATGTTTATCAGGGTTGCTTGTGGAGGGTTCATCCGTTGTTATGGGTTGAGATTGGTGGATTTTGGGTTCTATAAGAGCTAATCTAGCGTCTACTTGTAGTTGGTGAAGCTGATGTTAGTGAACTATTAGTTGTAATTCTTTTATTTGTGCTTTTAAATTTCTTACTTCTCCTTGCAATCCACCGGTAGTTACTTGTTTAAACAGTGTTGGGGAAGGATACTTTTCTATTATTCTATTAAGACTAAATGGTTAGCAACTGATTTTCCCTTTGCACTAAGAGCATGGGCATTGGTAGGACAATGATTTTGGTCTCATGGTTATTTTAACAATATTTTGGGTGTGGGACAAATGTTTAATTTTTATGTACGAGCATTGGTGTCCTTTGTATTTTGTCCGACGTATAAAAAATCATATTTTTAGTTTTTTAAATTAATATAATTTAATTATGTAAAAAAATAAGAAATATTGGACTAATCCTTTATACTACAAAACACAAGTCACTTGGCCAATTAAAATATGCCACATAGTTTTTTTTTTAAATCTATAAAAAAAAACAGAAATCTTGCGAGAAAAGAAAAACACAAAATAATAACCAAACTTCCTAATAAAAATCCCTAAGATTTCTCTCCCACCATCACCACGATTTTCTACCGAAACTATTTTATAGTTCTTCTATAAATTTAACTCAACATGAACTCAAAATTCATTTTTTTGTCTCGCAAAGTTTTACATTTCTATATTTTGAGTAGAGCATAGTTTATGTTTGCTGAAAATTCTAGAAATATATGCATGTCTCAATTGTATCCCTCTTCAACTTGAAAACGTCTTCAGCCTCATCTAATACCCGCGTGGACGTTGGCAACGAGTTCATAAACAACTTATCACCAAGGAGATTGCAGAAATAAAAAAATATAGCTTCCCGGTTAGTTAGAAAATCTCTTCTTTTCATTTTTTTGAATTAAAATTATACTAACAATTCGATCTTTCAAAATTTTCCATCATTCTCTATTTAGAAGTGTTAAGAATGTCGAGTGTGATTGATAAGAAATATACTTAATGGATAAATCGGAAATTTAATAAGATAAACTATAATTTATGGATTTTATTTTGAAGGTGTAGTGATGTTCGTGAATGGAGTGGAGAATTGGAGAAAATGGTTATTAGTACCGAACATATGCTTTTCAGGAAGGGCCTCACATTGGAGAACATATGAACTAATCATATTGGAATTAGAAGGTGCCTACCTCTTATCAATTATTATTATTATTGCTATTTTGTTAAAGAATATTAATTATTATTGTAATTGATTAGTTCATTCAGTTTTCCTCATAGTTTGCAATATTTGACTTACCAAGAGCTCTGAGGAGCAATCTTACAATTGGAGAACCAAATTGAGGCGGTGGAGATTTTGTCCGCATCTTTATTGACTGCTTCTTTTCAAGTTGGTTTACAGATGTAGAAACATAATAACTCTCAAAATAAGATTTTATCATTATACACTAAAAATGTATGATGATATCTATCTCTACCCAATATATATATATATATATATGATTTCTATGATTATATAAGAATGTTATTTCCGTGCATAGCACGGGTGGTAATACTAGTAGAAAACATAAAACATTAACACTAAAACATTTTAAAATTACAAAGTTACAAAAAGATGAAGGGAAAAACATACAATCCCTATATTAGTAAAATAGGAGTACATAAACGACTTGGGTTAGGTTAATTATGAAAATTTTAGCAAAATAACCCGATTGGAACTATGTACTTGGATACTTTACAAATGGAACAAAAATCGGGTATGGTTATGACCCGTTAATCATAAATTTTCGATAAACTAATTATTGACCTTCATTAGATTAATTGTTAGCTTAAATGCGAGATTTAAAATCCCACTAATTTAGGATCTTTTAATACTGATAACTAACATAATTACAGAAAACTATACTAAATGTAAATACTAATCGATTAATATTGACTATCAAAAACTGTTTTTATGGAAATAGTCATAAATATTTACTTACCAAATTATTGAAAAACATCTCAGTCTTTATAAACTATCCTAATAT